CTGGCTGGCATGTGGTGCTGGGGGATTGAACCGCAGTCCCTGTGCTTTGCTAAGCTTGTTCTAAGTAGGTGCTTTAGACCACTGAGCCATCTCACCAGCCCAATCTTCCTATTTTCATTCAGTTGGTGAGACCTCTTTTTTTCCCTTTGCCTCAAAGCATTGGTCCTTTATTTCTATGTGCAATTATTTTAGGTTTATATCAGGCAGTTCCAAAGCAAGTAGTCACTTACATATTAATTCTATCTAAGAGTAGTGCTCAAAATGCTTGAGGATGGTGGAAAATCAAGCCGTACTCACTAAGTGGCTAAGCAAGCCAAGGGCTCTGCTCTGGAGGGCTCTGACTTCTCAAGGATTTTCTTCTGCAGAAGACCTTGATTCTCCATCTGTCTAACACTGGAGTCTGGTTAACCCAGCTGCTGAATAAGCAAGGGTTGGGGCTCAACATATGTAAAGCTGGTCCTATTTAAAACAGTTGTGGCCTCTCTGTAATAACTCTTCCCTGAAGTAATATAGAAAAAAACAGAATGTGGTGCTGTGGGCGAGAACATGACCAAGAGGACATGTTGTCTGGGAATTTCTCTGTAAGCAAATGTGATTCATGGAGTAGAAATACAAGGGCACCACAGCCAAGGATTGAGTGGAAATCTGAGTCTCACCCTCAGAAGGGTATTTGGTTAATCCCCCTGGCCTGGAGTCTGTCACAAATATCACATAAATAAAATCATTCTTCAGAAACACCAACAGATTGCTTAGCTGAGGTTTTCCCGGCATTTTATTTTTCAAGCTAACTTTTCCCTTTTATTTTTAAAGAAATTTTTTTCTGCTTATAAAGCACATTGGCTTTGTTTAGTCCGAAGAAAAGTCTTTTTTAGGAAAAAAAAAAGGGGGGGGGATTCTATTAGACAAGATTTTATATCATAAATTAACTTTCTCAGGGAAAATGCTTTTTTCTCTTCTGTTATTAATCTACAAAAGTAGAATGCCATATGCAATCAAGATTTTTCCACATAACATGAGTAAGAGTTTTTCTTTTGTTTCTTTGGAATTACAGTTGGCAAAGATCATTTTCAGAATGTGAGGTTCATTGACTGACCTGCAGAGGGCGTTAAGATGCATAACGTGAAAAAAATTCACCATCTACTCTAAGTCTAGTTTTTAGCAAGAAGAAATGAATCATGCTAAGAATGTAGTTTTTTCATGAAGAAAAACAAATGGCCTCTTCTATTTTCATGTGTGTCTATTTCCACGTTGTTACAGTTTGTGCCTAGACATCCCCCAAAGCCTCATGTGGTAACAAATTGGGGTTTTCGGAGGTGGCTGGATCTAGAGGGTGTGATGCTGGCATTAAGGGTAGGTGATTACTAAATCAGCCCACTCACTTGTTTGACACCAGCCTAATCTCATTAGTCTATGTAGACTAATACAACATAAAAGGGCCAGGAAGATGCTGTGAAGGTCCCTTGTTGTTTTGCTACCTTCTGCCACCATGAACTGTTCTCCTTGGCCAAGTGCCAACCTGCCTTGGAGCCAGCCGATTATGGACCAAAATCTCTACAAACTTTGAGCTAAATAAGCCTTTCCCCCTTCAGAATTGGAGATCAGGTATTTTATCTCATCAATGAAAAAAGCAACTAGGACACATATGTCTGCTTTCTGCTCTCACCCTCTGGCACATCCAGGTTACAGCTACCTGCCTCATGCTGGCTGGGCTATATCTGTGATCAGAGACAGGATTATGTTCCAGATGTGATGAGCTCAGGAACTGTGTCAGTCTTATTTATCACTGTACCGGGACACAAAAACTGCTCAACTAGTAATTACTGAACAAATGCAAAGGGACAAAAAGGAGAGATTATACTTCAGGGACATAAAAGTAGATATAAGCTTGTTCTTGCTAAGTAGCTTGACAACAAAACCCTGTGAGATGAGGGCTGGGGAGATAGCTCAGTGCATAAGCACCTGCGTGGCAAGTACAGGTTCCTAAATTCAATCCCTAGTATCACCAAAAAAAAATAAATAAAATTAATGTGTAAAATATATTACATATTTATAATTTGGCTCTATTGATTAATTTGATAATATTTATAAATAAAAATATCTATTTATTGAGTTTCTTTCCTTGTTAGACACTTATTTAGATGCTTGGAATACAATTATTCCACTGTACTATACTATACTACACTCACAAGTACTCATGAAATAGTGGAAGAGGAAGCAGATTAGGGGACACACTGTGTGTGAGCTCAAGCACATGTACACTGTTTTAAGTGACTGTCAGCAGAGGCCTCTCTGAGGAGAGACTTAGAAGATGTGTGAGAAAGACCCATGCAAGTATTTGAAATCATCTTCCTGTCAGAGGGGCCATAGGAACCTTGGCTTGGACATGGAAGATGTGTCCAGAGTAAGCAAGAAGGCAATGTGATTAAACCTGGTTAAGCAAAGGGAAAGAATCAATGAATTAATAGAAATAATAGAGGCCAAAGTGTGTATGGCTCTGCGCTGTAAGGGTTCACATATCTCGGGAAGGTTCAAGGGGCTGAAGCAAAAAAGGTGACATGATTGGGCTGACTTTGTAAGTGATCATTGTAGCTGCCGTGTGGGGAGCAGGGTGGAGATGACTGAGTGTAGATGCAAGGGAGTCAATGAAGAGGTCCCTGTAGTGCCATTTCTGGAGACTGAGGGGAGAAAAGGTTTGGTTACAAACATGGTAAGTGGGCTGAGTGGGGAGAAGCGAAAAGCCAGGTTTTGGCATTAGGCTTGAGATGCCTTTCAGACAGGCCTGTTTCTCCACGGGGAGACAGCAGACAGACAAATGGATATGATAGTGTGGTAGTCAGAGGAGAACTTAGGGCTGTGCATATGAATTTAGGAACAGAGGGATAAGCCCAGAAAAGCAGTGCCTCTGGCAACACTGCTTTTTTCTCCACCCACTCCACAGGACTTGAGCATGGGACCTCTTGGGCAGATGAACATCTTGAACTAAGTGTCACAGCACAGGGCCAAGGTGCCAGGTATGCTTCCTGTCCTAGTGATCAGGGAAAGTCCCTTTGCCCTCTTGGACTCAGGTTGCCCCGGTCTAAACTGACCATATTTCCATCCACCAGTCAGCTGTTGAAAGGCAGGGACAAGTCATCACACACAACAGTGAAACATTGCCAACACGTCTATGGCTGGGCCCAAGGGTAGGGCAAAAGGATTTGCAGTAGCAAACTGAGCCTTGAGGCCAGTTTCTATTAGTTCCTGCTGTGGATTGTCCATTCCCGGAGTTTTGATCTTGGAGACACTGAATAAAAGCTGCCAGGGTATGCTGGATGATGGGATGCTTCTTTAAATAAGGCCTCTAATCTCATCTCCTATTAGCTCTCCATTGCCTTTAAAGAGTTCCAGACCACGTCACTTTCTTTCCTATTTCATGGACTTAGAAGTAATCTGAGCTTTTAGCCTGGCTTATGGTTCTTCCCATAGTCTGGCCCTTGCCTCTCACTCCTGCTTGTCTATTGGTGCTTTTGTACATGCAGTCCATGTTCCAGGTGTTAATCATTCCCCTGCAGGTTATGAGGGAAATATTATTTTGTGTTGTACCTCCTTAGACTGCCCCTTGTCACATACCCACTTAGAGAACTTTTGCATATTCTTTAAAGCCCAATTTCAAGATCTCCCTCCACTGTGAAGAATCTATAAGTGGAGCTTAAGCAAAGATTTCTCTTGCATCTACACTAGCACCGTACCAAGTTTCTCCACTGCAGAACTATCATGCCACATGGTAGTCATTTTAGAAAAGTTTATCTTTCTTGTTAGACTGTGGTCTTCTTCAAGAGAGCCATGTAAGGGGTCATCATCTTTGTTCTGTGTACCTAACCTAGGGCCAAGTAAGTAGAAGAAACTTAATGCATTTGCTAAATATAGGGAATGAGTGGGTTAGAACCCAAATACTCAGAACCCATTTGGTCCTTCTACAAATAAAGCCAACAGTCCATGAAACATTACCGAGACACTCAGAAAGTTATACTGAGTGAAAAAAAAATCACAAAAGTTTATGTATTATGTAATTCTATCTCAGAACATTCTTGAAATTCAAAATTATAAAAATGGAGAACAAATGAATGATTGGCAAGGGCTGGGGAGGAGGTAAGGCAACAGGAAAGTGGGTGTGGCCACTTTTAATAGGTCTTTGTAGTGTTGGAATTAGTCTGTATCTTGACTGGGTCAGACTCAAGAGCTTGGCTGTGATACTAGTACAGTGCTTTTGTGTATATTAACATGGAGAAAGACAGAGTGATGGGTCCAAAGTTCTCTCTGTATTATTTTAATTCACAATTATTTCAAAATAAAAAGTTAATTGATAAGGAAAAGGAAGAACATTTCATGGTGACCTGCCCAAAGTCAGTAAAATTGATGCTAGAAGGCTCACAGACATTGCACTGGCCAGAAAAGTATATTAGTTTGAAGCACCATCAGGTTTCTATGAACTTTATTTTCCCACATAATAAAGAATTTGTGTACCTTTCTTACTGGGGGATGCTCTGACTTCATGCTTGAGTTTCTGTGAGCTTTCTAAGTTACCTGGCCTTAAAAGTCATGGAGACCAGGATTAGCTTTGATCAACCCTGGTGTGATCTGCACCCACAGGATCCCTGGAGGGTGCACAGCACAGTTTCTTGGATATCCTGGATGTGTCTAGAATCACCCTGAAAGGTCTATGTCTTACACTGGTATGAGGCTGACAATAACCCTGCTGACATTTACTGATCTTAATCTTGTGAGACTGTAGCGCACAACAAAATGTGTTTATTCACAGTCAGCATGGGTGGTTAGCAACACAGAAGGATTGCCCATGACCTTGAGATACATTGTTCTTACCCGGGGAGAAGCTTTGAAACACTGGCCCTTCCATTTAGACTCCTTGAAAAGAAGGTTTGTTTGGTAGAAGTGGTAAGGTATGAGTGGTTCCACCAGTGTGGGAGCCTTTGACTGAAATTTTGGACTATCCCATGACCCACCTGAATCAGAAGAGCTGCAATTTCTGGGCTTCCATGTCGCAGGTCATGTCCATTGATGGCCAATATGCGATCATTCTCTTGCAACTGGCCATGTCGGTCTGCCACACCACCATTTAGTAAGCTGAAGACAAATACGCCAGGCTCAGCCACCTTGCGCACCAGCTTTATTCCAAGTTGCTCATCGGAACTACTTTTGTTGAGTATCACCTGGAAACTGTCATTCCGCGGTCCATAAAAGTGCAAGGCATGACCATTTTTCCTGATTTTGACCTTCTGTTCACGTAGCACTGTGAGCCACAGGACCTGGCAGGGCTGTCGCAGGAGGTTCAGGGCATAGTTGTGAGGGACATTGCTGATGTCCATTCCATTGACCTGGGGAGAGCAGAGTCATCATGCCGTCAGCTCCACCTGCTGTGACCCTTCCTCAAGGCCCAGGCCAGCATTTCCAAGGTCCTGAGTCTCATCCCCAGCCCCACAAAAAAAATAAATGAAAAGCTCAGGGTCTCAGGATAACTGTGACACTTTCCTTCTAAACTTTGCTCTGCTCTCTCCCTTTATCTTGTGTTCAAATATATTCCCTATCATAACAGTACTTTTCAAACCTCTATGAGAAGACATCATCTTCCTTCAAACTTGTCCTTACACAGGTCCTCATACTTAACTGTGGAATCCTGATCTTCATTTCTATTGTCTGCCAAATTTATGTTTTAGCTGGTAGAATGGCAAGGAAAGAAAAAAATGTAGGAAAAGTCAATAGAAATGTAATCAAATGATTACATGATTTTAAACTTCTTTTTTGTGTTGTGGAGAATGGAACCCAGGGCCTCATGCAGGCAAAGCATATGCTCTGCCACTAAGCAGTAATACTCACCCCAAGTTTTTCCATTAAATGACCATTCAAGACAATGTGAGTTGATGTTTTCTTTCCAAAAATCTTCAACTTAATTTTACTCTGTCACCCACATTGGAACTTCTAGCTTCAACCACTGAATGTGTATGTATGTATGTGTATCTATAGCGGGGGTATACATGCCTGAATGTATGTGTGCATGAGTGTGCTGTAAAGATACTAGAGTATGTGTGTGAAAGAATATGCCCACATGTATACATGAGTGTGTTTGGGAATGTGTGTGTCTGTAACAGAGTAAGAAGTCTGTGTATGTGAGGGAGAATATGTGCCTGAGTGTGTATGTATGAGTGTTTCCAAGTTTGTGTATGGCAGAGTGAAAGTGTGAGGATGTGTGAGTGTGTGTGTGTATGTGTGTGTGAATATATGCCAGATTCCAAGATGGTCTTTTGCAAGGTTTTTGCTTGTTTCTACTAAAAGAACAAAGACACCTGCGCAATTTCAAATATACCCATGCAGAAGGAAATTTCTAGGCTCTTTGATTGAAAGGCTGGGAACTTTTTAATGCTACGTCCATGTCCTTAAATTGGACCCTCTCACTTGTGCCTCCCTCACAAACTATAGGGCTTATACCACAGTGGGCCTTCAGGCTTCAATTACTGTGCTGCACAGGCTGAGCCTAGGGGCTTCAGCCCCCGACATTAGTCACTGTTGTGGAAGAAAAGAATTCGCAGCAGTTCTATGCTCTGTGCTTAGGAAGGCCTCTCACAGAAGGATAACAACCTTCTGGGCTTTCTATAGCTGGGAACATTTCTTCTGCTTGCATCCCACCATTAGAGACACCTTGGAATGAGCTTTTACAAAAGTCGTCTATGTAAATCACCAATTCCTTGCTGCACCACAATGGGTGGGGGTGCCCCTGCAAAGATGAGGCTCACCACCTCTTTGTGCACATACAGGGGAGCAGTGTGCAGGAGATGGCAGGGCCTGCTTGCCCATCACTCCCAGGCTAAGAGAGCATCAGGATTCCCTGCTTAAGAGTGCTGGCAGCCCTCTGCCTGAAAAGCCAGCTGAAGTCCACAAGAATCAAATGCTTGCCTTTGCAACCCTCTCAGGCAGCGCAGTTTCTACTACAGCAGAACGGAAGCCATGCAGTGTTGCCCACTGCACTCCCAAAACCCCCGGAGGCTGAGGGGCCCTGCCTGTACTCCAGCTCAGAGACCAGAGGGAATTTTAGCGTTTCTACAGCAACTGCTTTCCATGACCTCTCCTCTTATTCCAGTTAGTCTGCCAAACAAACAGCTCATGATGTGACAGGAACTTGTCCCTCAGCAACCTAGAAGGATGGGATGAAACTATTATCTAAGTATCAGATAGGAAATATATGAGCAGGGAGGGAGTTCTTGTCACATTTGGCACAGGCTTGACTTCTGTCTGATAAACAACTGTTCCTTTATCTTTTCTCCTCTTCTGCAAATTCCTTCTTAAAGTCCTTCCTCTCAACCAAGCCTCAGAAAGTAGTACACCCACAACAATTTATACCGCTCTCCCCAGGAATGTCTCTGGGTTGCTTTTGTTTTCAGGGAAGGCCATTAAACCACAGCAAATTTACTTTAGAGGGGCATCTGAATATGATTATATGAAATATAGACTGCTTCATTAATCTGCCCTAAAACAATCTAAGAAAATATATGTGTTACTTTTGTATTATTTTATACTAATACTACTTAAAAAGGAACCAAAAGCAGCAGCAGAGAGAAAAGGAGGGGGACAAAGAAGAGGTGGATAAAAGGAAGGACAAGAAAAGAGGTAGATGGGAGAAGGAATAGGGGAGAGGAGGAGACAGAAACGCTTATACCCATAAGGGGGGAGCACGTGAGTACAAAAAACCTATTTATTAAATGATAAATTTCATATGAAGAATTCTAACAATATAACTATGTATT